TCTCTCCTGTCTGCCATTCATATTAATCAAACAACAGTGAGAGAAAATCTCCCACTGCTCTTGACTAAATCACTTTTGTAACTAGAATAAAAAGAAAATAAATAATGCTAATAATTATGCCTATATATATATATATTAGGGGTGGAACGGTACACCGATGTCACGGTTCGGTACGTACCTCGGTTCGGGGGTCATGGTTCGATACGATTTCGGTACAACAGGAAAAAAACAACAAATCTACTATGCTAGGTTTATTTTCATTCATTTTGAACAGACAGTAGTACAAATGTAAAAAAATTCCACCTAGATGTGAAAATACTAAATATTATATTAAATTACAATGTTATATATATAATATCTGCAGTACATATATACAGTACATACAAGGAATAAATACTTGAAATGTATTTGATTTAGTTAACAAATAAACAAGGTGACGCGTAACGTAGCCTATATATGCTGAGTGTCTGTTCATTTTTGTGACACGCTTAATTTGTTCACAGAAAGAAAACCCAAATGGCAGAAAGCGACATCCTATTTGTTTTCTTTATTTTACAAAAGCACAATGTTTTGTTTTCATTGTGAGTGTACACAAATAAAAGTAGACCTTTTACAGTGATGCATTATTAATAAGACAATAAATGACGGATTGTTTTAAGTTGATTCTGCTGGTATAAGGAAAACAGTTGAAGTGATCACGCCGGCGCACACACACACAAAACATATCAGTTAAAGCATTGCTACTGTAACTTCACAGCGCAGTTGGTACTTTATTAAAATAAAATACAGTGAACCAAACATCAGCGCGCCCATCTCTGTGTCACCGTTGGAATGCGACTGAAGTACAAATTACATAATAAATAATAGTTTAGCATTCTGATACATTGCAAATATGGAAATATTATGGAATATTTGGATTTGTGCCGAATGAGAGAGGTAGGATACACGATCACAAAGCTCCATTTCACAAACAGTTGAGTGCGCAAGCCTTTTAAAGTATACTCCTTTGTCAGTGAGAGACGTGTTCAGAATCAGCACATGGTCACTGTCTAGTGGGCTTTGTTTTCAAGTGCGCAACTCATGACATTCGCTGTTCTTCTGCTGGCGGTTATCAAACAGCATTGCATTACTGTGGGCGCCCCCTTCTGGATTGAGGGTGAATTGCCTGTATTCATTGTAAGGCCTCATGCACCGAACCGAGATGTCCGTACCGTGATGGTTCGGTACGAATACATGTATCGTTACACTGCTTATATATAATATAATAATATTATATATATTAGGGCTGTAAATAGATAAAAAATTTTAATCTAATTAATCACACCCTTTTTCTGTGATTAATCGTGATTAATCGCACACTTCATGAAATTAAGCATAGACCATTTATCTTGTTTCAAATGTTTATTTTGTCATCATTTGCTATATCCAGCAAAATACAACCTAACCACCTGCTGACTGCATATATCTACTACAGTACACAGACCCATTCAGTATAACTAAACACAGCAACATAAACATGACAAATCAAAACATTATCGTGAATGTGTGTGGAAACATGAATGTACAGAAATGTCTGTGCCTGAGCATAAATAAATTCAGGGGCGGATTTAGTGAATTGGGGGCCCCAGGAAAAATATAGGAACGGGGCCCTATACATTTGCACACATTTTCCTAGATCAACCTTGAGGTTCCATTTTGTTGTTTTCAGCGTAAGCCTGTGTGCAAAGGCTGTCTAATTCGTTTTTTTATAAAGTAAATTTTAGAAAAACATTTGGAGTATTTTTTGTTCGTTAAATGTAAGTTTTGTTTTGTTTTTTTTTAAGTAAAGGCCAGTGGCAGACAGTGAATTTCATCATAGCCTATAGCCTATGTTTGATCAATTTAGCCTTCTCAAATCATCAGGACTTGCCTAAAATAAAATCTATATATAAAACAGTTCAAGTATATCACAATGTTAGTTTAAATAATTAACCTATATAAATGTGCATATCCAATAGTTTGCGGAGGAGTAGAAGCTGAAGCTCGTTCTGCAGGACATGGAGGCGCCAGTGCGATCACTTGCATTTTTTCCTAACAGTGGAAACAACTTAAAATACGCAGTCATTTGTGCTCACAACAGGAGTGCTTCACAATGATGAACCTAAACAAAATATACCTAAAAATATACCAAAAAAAAAAAAACATAAATCAAAATATATAAAAAGCTTTAAATTACTACTTTAAAACGAAAT